CCTTGGCAGTCTCTAGGAAACGGTTTACGGATACTCGTGGTGGGCGAGAGCACAGATAGCCCATCGTGTAGCTTTGTGCTTAACAACCAATGATGCAGACCAATTATTGCTTAATATAGGAAAATAAATTGTAAAAGGTAGTAGAGAAGCGAAATAAATCATATTCGGTAAGAAGTTAAAAATATATATAATTAAAGTACAATCAAATCTTAGCTCCATTGTGTGCTTTGCTACAAAATGATGAAGTTTTTTCCGTTTATGTAAAATCGATATCAAAACCTAATAAACTACCTAATGTTTTAGCTTGATGTTGTAAACACATTCTGAATGAGGCTGTTTACAATCGCAATGCTAGTTATCTAACATTCCTAAAATGTAGCTTTTAGTTCTTGATACATCGATCTTTATGTAGCCATATCTCCATTTACAGTTAATATTTTCCTTTTAAAAAATTGTTAAATTCTTATCATTAGTAACTTCGTTTGGTATAATTTCCTCAATCGAATTCCAAGATAGATTTCTGGTGATTCTACCTTTAATACGAAATGTTACCCAATTTGCCTGTAGGATAGGTGTTAAAACAGAGTAACTGAAATACCCGTTCAATCCACGAGGAAAAAAATAAGAGGGCCTTAGGTGTGACATAGGAGGGAGTATTAGGTAAAAGACCAACTCCTATGTCATTCCCTAGGGTAGATTTGGCAGTCAACAAACAGTTCAATAGTCGTAAGCGGCCACACACAGAGAGAGTATTTTATCAAATAATGGTTTAAGATTTATGCACACAGAAAAATACCTGTTCAGGCTTGTGGTCAAACGTGATTGGTATTGCCGTATTTTTGTTGTCACACAGAACTCCTCGAGAGTCTCCAACATTTGCAACTATCAACTGTTGGTCATGGACCAGAGCAAGGACAGCTGTTGTCCCTATAAAAAATTAAGAGTAAAACAGTTTATGCACACAGATAGATAGTACTTGTGTAAGATTTCGAATGTGTGAATATTTATATCCCAAAATTCAGTATATCGCAAAAAATGCTTACTCATATTGACAAAAGTTATATTAGAAAAATCTAAATCACGTATAACCTGTAAAAAAATAATAAAAAGACGTAAGTGAAAGAGGCTATAACGTGCTTTAAATTTAAACGAAAAAAATTCACAAATTTAAATAATAAAATAATAATTTTAAATTTTTTTGTCTTTCACATTAAAGTTTATTGTACGAATTTTGTGACGAACGTTTTTCGCTAACAGTGCAGTTTTTCGGAGTGTTTATAAAAAATATCTTACGTTTAAAATAATTATACCATAAAACTACTTGTCCTGGGAGACGTAAGTTTTGCCAAAGATACATTGAAAATTATAAATTTTTACTCGGAAAAGTTTGAACACGGCTTCATCCTAGCTTCAAAACTTTCACAGAATGTAAGTATTATTCATGTTAACAAATTGATACTAAGTCAGCAATGAGACGAAATGCTATGACAGGCTATTTTATTATCAAAACTTTCACAGAATGTAAGTATTATTCATGTTAACAAATGGATACTAAGTTAGCAATGAGATTACGAATGCTATGACAGGATATTGTATTCTCAAAACTTTCACAGAATGTAAGTATTATTCATGTTAACAAATGGATACCAAGTTAGCAATGAGACTACGAATGCTATGACAAGCTATTTTATTATCAAAACTTTCACAGAATGTAAGTATCATTCATGTTAACAAATGGATACTAAGTTAATAATGAGACTACGAATGCTATGACAGGATATTTTATTATCAAAACTTTCACAGAATGTAAGTATCAGTCATGTTAACAAATGGATACCAAGTTAGCAATGAGACTACGAATGCTATGACAGGATATTTTATTCTCAACGTTTCGACTACAAGTCTCTGTGCTACCATAGTATCCATTTCACAGAAAGTCTTCGATTTGCCTTTTGTCATTCTTAATCAGCATATCAAGCCTATCCTTACATGAAACTATGCAAACATAATCTGGAGAGTTTTCACTGATCCTCGTAATAACATGCACGGTAGCACGTATTCAAAGTACAAATCCATTATCTCGTACTGATGAAAGAGAAATAAAAAAGAACAATAAAATCAATGTTAGTTTGCGATAATAACGATCTAGGTATGCAGCACGATGTGATTTTTAAGCATCCTGTACCAGGACCAGACTTCCTTCAATAAAACACAAAGTATTCAATATGCCTCTGATGAAATTTTATTATTCTAGGTCATGAAATATTTATGGTGTAATCATTATAAATATGAAGTTTTCTATAAAGTGGCGGTATGCCTCTATTTATATATATAGGTCTAATGTTTATAGTACCAGACTCACATTCTGCGGGTTGCAAGATGGAAACCCAGCGCCGAAGACGCTCGCCCTTTCAGCCGTGTGGACGTTATAATGTAATGGTCAATCCCACTGTTCGTTGGTAGAAAGTAACTCCGGTGTTGGCGGTGATGTTACCGGCTGGGTGCTTTCTCTGTGGTTGGCAGTTCAAAATTAGGGATGGCAGCAAATAGCTTTACTAGCTTAGCCGTATACAATCTCTATGTGTATACACAGTATACTAGCTTAGCCGTATACAATCTCTATGTGTATACACAGTATACTAGCTTAGCCGTATACAATGTATACACATAGAGTTTGTATACGGCTAAGCTAGTATACTGTGTATACACATAGAGACAGTATACTAGCTTAGCCGTATACACTCTATGTGTATACACAGTATACTAGCTTAGCCGTATACAAACTCTATGTGTATACACAGTATAATAGAGAATGTAATGTATATATAATATTTAATATTGTAATATCAAAATAATTTTGTAGCCTCGTCACATCGTTTACAGTCCATGTCGCCACATCCATTTATACTATTAGAACACTGTGCGACAGCTATGCAGTATAGTTTTCTATGCAAAAGGCTCCCTCGCGAGGCTTTCGTGTCCAAGGCATACCACTCTTCTCTGCATGTGTTTTCCAAGCAAACATATCAACACTCCAATCACACAAAAATCTATAGAAACTGAATCTAGCGATTTAACTGATATGTTTGCATTCAGAGTAGAAGGATGACTCATTTGATTTTCCAGCTGCTTGAGGTATACAATAACTGAATGAGGAGTATGACTGAAAACCTTATCTTGGTGAACCCATACCCTGTTGACCTCGTTTTCACCTGGATATCCTACTGAATTATGTTAAATACTCTGACCTGGAAAATATGGATAGCTTTTGCTACTGACCTTTGTGTTTGTGGATTTTGTTACAAGACGCCGCACTTTCCTTACCATGGGTACAACTTGTTGTAGGTCTCTTTCTGGTTGGTCATGGAGCCCCAAGTTGATTCACATTCCTTTGTTGCGGGTTCGAATCCCCATCACCAAACATGCTCGCCCTTTCCACCGTATGAGCGTTATAGTGCGACGGTGAATTACACTATTTATTGATAAATAGTAACCCAAGAGTTGGCGGTGGGTGGTGTTGACAGCTACCTTCCCTCTAATCTACCACTTATAAATTAGGGATGGCTTGAAAAGATGACAACCCTCGGATTAACCGCAAATGGAGCAGAGCTATTGAGATGAAAAAGCGTACAAACGACGCAATTGTGTGTAGAAATTATTATACGGTGTTAAAATATACAGAAAAAGACAGAAGAACATGTAGTATAATGTTGAAAACTGAAGGCTTAGAGAATATAGTAAAACTGTTATATATATATAATCATATAATGTTAAAGCAATCCTCGAACCTGCCATATCTCCACAAGCTTCAGCCTCGGTAATCAGTTCTTCATCTAATGCTAAGATTTCTTCAGTTAATAGCTGGATTAAAGCATCTGTTTTGGAGGAATGATGCAGTAGATCTTCTCGAAATTGATCTTCTCCAGCTCCTGTCATCTCTCCTGTCTTTAAAATATCTTGAACTTTTTGAAAGAGATTGTTGAAGATATTATGTTCAGCATATTTTGCTGCAAACTAAAATAGAACGAAAAAAAAGAGAGAAATTAAGAAATATATAGGTATTTTTAATGTAGTATGTTCAATGAAATCAGTTTTGTTCATGGTAATCTGATTTTATAACAAACTGTGCTATACGTTAATTATACTTGTCATAAGACATTATGTTAGGCCTATTATATTTTAAATACTACATTCTCAATTTAGTCCCACAGGGATTTCCAAGAATGACGAATATAGTGTGGTTGGAATACTATTATTATACACTTATAATTCTTAAATCCCTAAGGAACTAGCTTAAGAATGTAGTCCTAAAAATATAATAGGTCTAACACGATGTCTTATGACAAGTATAAATAATTATAATAATGCTTTGCCAGCTTGTAAAAGACGTTCAAACCATAATAATTGTTGTAATAAATGGCCTATATAAACAGCATTTCGATCTGTACTGTTTCACTTTTCTTTTGATCTACCTTTGGACGATTCAGACTTTTTGGATTGGTCTCAGTGGATTCTGGTGAGTTTCTTTTACTTTTGGCTATTGGCTATTGCTTTTGACTATTCACTGTAATTAAGTTATTGACTACAGTGTTGTGTGTATGGTGTTATTCATGCACTCTGGCCTTCCTCCTGTCGTGAACCACCCGGGGATGTCAATGGGAGCTGTGCTGCCACCTAGTCGTCGCCGTGCCAAGCCTTATGACAAGCTGGATACCCAGTCTCGTCTCTCACAGTATTCTCCTCCTCGCCACTGTAATCGGGACTTTGCTTCTCCAATTTGTGTGTTTTCCGTGCCTGCTGGTTAACCGAATTTTCCTGATGTCGTTGCTTCTTCAACCACTACATTACCTACTGCTTCAACTAGTTTGCCTTCTTCACCTGTTCGTCCTCGGAAATCTGCCCGTATGGACACCTCTTTTCCTCCTGTTTCAGTGTTTCTTCTCTGTCAAATGGAACCTCGCTTTTTCATCATCCACACATTATTCCAAGAACTAACTAAATACTGCTTTAGATCTGATATCCATCCCTACCCGTAATGGAGTTATTCTCAAAACATTCAACACTCACCTCTGTGACATCCTTTGTAATCAAATGGGCCTCTTGAATCTATGTCCCAACAACAAACTTCAGAAACTTACCTCGCCTTCTGTGAAACAACACCCACCACCTAAACGATCGTCTCTCTTTTCCTGTGTTATTCGTGGGGTGGATCCTCTCATCACTGAAGACGTCATTATTTCCGAACTGCTGGAGGAACACCTCGACATTGAGCGTGCCATTCGGATTAAAAATGTTCAGGGACCAATATACATGGTTTGTATACTCTCCAGAAACAGTGACGTCATTGATCATCTTCTTCACCATGGTGCCTATATATATCGACAACTACATCGGGTTGAAGCTTCTCGATCTCCTCCCACTGAGCCCTTACATTGTGAAAAGTGTTTGTGTTACAACTCTCACTCGACAGCAAATTGCCCCAATTCGCCTGTACGCTCCCATTGTCAGGGCCCTCATTTTGCCCGTCAATGCCTCCAGTTAGAACAATCTCACATTTGTAATACCTGTCACCAGAACCACCCTACCTATTCTTATAAGTGTCATGGTAAACTTTCTCCAAAGCAGGATGATCCTGGTCCTACATCAGTGGCTATAGTTAGTAGCTCAGAGCCCATTACCCCTCCTTCTAACTCAGTTCTCCCTCATCCAACTGTTGAGGACATTTTTCGTTTTCTTACAATTGCTTTACAGAATATAATTCCCTGTCAGCGCCCATTTGTTCTCGATTGTATTCACCATGCAGCTAAAGCTGTTTTTCAACTTAGTATGGAAGCCACCTTCTCTGGAATGAATTCACATTTTCATTTTCGCCGACTATGGGAACCAGATGTCTTAGGCCTCGAGACCATGTGTTAAACTTCCTATCTATTAACATTCGCTCTTTCATTAAGAATGTTTCTCTGTTAGAGTTGCTTCTTTCTGATGTTGCTTATGATTGCATTCTTCTCAATGAAACATTTCTTAAGCCTTCACAAGCTGCAAAGCTGTGATCATCCTTCTGGTATTGGCAGAGGCGGTGTTGCTATTTGTTGTGGGGGTTCGCCTTCATTTCCGTATTCATACCTTACTCCCTAATGAATCTCCCGAACATCTTCTCGTCACCAAGCTAGAATTCTTACATTGGTCACCATATACATTCGTAGTGGTCATCCTCTGCCTTGTGACTTCTTTTGTATTTTGGATCGACTTTTTCACAGTTATATCGTTTTTGCTGACCTTAACCTCCATAATCATTCTGCTTCAGAGTTATCTCACTTTCACTCTGTACTATGTGACCTTCTCCGAGTCACCCTATTTCTCCTGGTGTTGTTTTTGCTTCTGCCAATCTTCACCCTTTTCTTACCACCAGTGTTCTTTCTTATATTGGTAGTGATCATCTTCCTATCAGAGTTCAGCTACAAACCACTGTTCCTCCTCTGCCTCGCCATCGGTTGTAGAATTTTCGTCGTGCCAATTGGGAAGCTTACCACTCTCATATTACAAGCTTGCTTGCTGATATCAACGTGTACTTTACCTCTACTGCTCAGGTGGTTAATATTGCCTCCACATTGGAATCTCTTCTCCTCACTGCTACTCATCTTCATATTCCTCGTTCTTCTTTCTCTTCTCATAAACCTGCAATACCTCGTCGGGCTCTGGATCTACTCCATCTTTCTTCATTACTTCTTCATGATTACACTCGTTCTCATGATCCACTGGTCCTCACTCGCTCCCGTGGTCTACAGCGGTTGGCCCTAATCTTGCTCGAGCAGTCAAACGTCGTCATTGGCATAGCATTTGTTCTTCTCTCTGCCACTCTCCTTCTTCTTCACAATACTGGCAATAATATCACCGACTTACTGGACAATGTACTGCTCCTTCCTACCCTGTTCTGGTTGATGGGGTTGTTCCTCTGACATCAGTTGCTAATACTGATGTTTTTGCCTCCTACTTAAAATATCGCTTTCAAAATTCAGATCAACATCCTTTAGATCTTGAAGATATTTCTGATATCTATCGTCAAACCGATCCTTCTCTTCCCGATCTCACACTAACTCTTGACTATGATCTCTGTGCCTATTCTCTGAATGAACCCATTACACTTTTTGATGTTCATTTTTATCTTCGTGGTCGATGCAATACAACCCCTGGTCCCGGTGGTTTGACTTACTCTCATCTTCAAAATGCTCCATCTCGGTTTTTGTTTATTTTGGTTGCCTTCTATAATTTTATCCTTCGTACTGGCCATTACCCTGCTTCATGGAAGACATCTACTGTTCTCCTCCTTTTAAAACCATCCAAGTCTCCAATGTCCCTAGCTTCTTACTGCCCAAATAGTGTTACAAGTATTTTTAGCAGAACTTTTGAGCGGATTCTGGTTCATAGACTACATACCCATTTGACTCTGTATAACTTTCTTCCCCATACCCAGGCCGATTTCAGTCATATATCCATCTTATTCACTCCTTTCTTCAGAATCACTCGGCCACGGTCTTTCTTGAGGGGATACACTCCAGATCGTTTCCCATAACAGCGAGGTTTCCACAGGGTTCAGTTCTTTCTCCACTTCTTTATGTGCTATAAGTGTATGACATGCCACTTCCGACTCCTCCAGTTTCACTATATCAATATGCTGATGACGCTACATGTAAAACGATGATTACTGTTAACAGATTTCTCTAGGCTAGTGTTGATCATTTAATTCGCTGGACTCGTCGCTGGCGTTTTTTTATCAATGCAGTTAAAACCCGAGCTATTCTGTTTGGTCCTACCCATCACAAATTTCATCCATGACCGTTCCCTTTTTAATGTCCGTATTGAGAATATCCCACTCAAACTCTCCGATACTATGAAATACCTGGGGGTCACTTTTGACAAGCATCTCACTTGGAATGCTCATTTCAACTCTCTTCGTAGTAAATTTAATTCTCGGATGCAGCTTCTTCGTTCCCTGACAGGTACCTCCTGGGGTTTAAACCCTCCACTTCTTCTTACACGTACAAAACCTTCATACTTACCTATGGCCATACTGCCTGGGTTTCTGCTTCTCCTTCCTTTTATGACGGTCTGAAAGTGTTAGAACGTCATGCTTTACGTTTGGCCCTTCATGTGAAGTTACCTAGTCCTACTCGTGACCTCTATACTCGTATTACCTTTTCTCCGCTTCTTGTTCACCTCCGTGATCTCCGGGTTCGTTATGTACAGCGTTGCTTTCTTACTCAAAGTGTTATCTTTGCCACTGCACCCATACAAACCACCTGAACCCACAGACAAGTTCACCCAGACATCACTTGCCAAGAAGAATACAATGAAGACTCAATTCACACAGACTTAAGTATCACGCTACAATACCCACTGACACCTTCAAAACGTCGAACCGTGAATCCCAGACACGAATTTCCGAGAAAGCCAGGAAAACCTAGACAGAAGAACAGCCCATCGATGACTTTCTCAGATTCCTTTGATCATCATCCAGACAGCCCCAATCACAATCACAGCCCTATGAATGCATGACTAATGCCGAGTTCGACCAAAATTTCCTGTTCCCTTCCTTCTATTATTACACCTCAAGTACAAGGCTTAGTATCCAAAGTAAATTACTACCAGACCTTCCCAGCTTTAACATCGACTTCTCACCAGTCAAGCCAGTTTTAAGATGTTCTATTGTATCTAATGTGTACTAACATTTGTGGTTTTTTTTCTCCTTCCAGCTTCCACCTGGCACGGTCGAGGCATTCTTTTTGGCGCCCTGGCTGTGAAAGTGGGTTTTCTCGGGGTACTCCCGTTTTCCACCCGCAGCAAAATTTTACCCTCGTTATTTGGATCCTTTGATCCCAGTCATGAAAGAGACCGCTCCGCGAACTTAAAATAAACCAGGAAAAGAATCAGAATTAAAAATTAGTGTCATACTCTTAGCATAACCTAATAAGGTAATACATTCTTATTAGAAATGCAGGTTTCACTACTTAAGTGTA